TATTTTATGTTAGAAATATTTTTTAATCATTTTACATGATCTCTTATATTAGAAATTAATTTTGATAGTTTTTCAGCTAAACACTCAACTGTTTTTATTTTTAATACTTCTTGAAAAGATCTAGAGAATTTGCTTCATTCTACAAAAATTACAGCAGGATCACCACTAGCCATACAAATTGAAACAATAGCGTCATGAGAGAAGTTTAAAGATAAATAATTTATTCGACGATCGTTCTACCTTATGCAAATTTATCAACTATATGCAATTGTAAATAAAAATTTATGAAAAGAATAATTAAGAATGAAATAAAATTACTTTCACTTTTTGGTCAACATTAAAACTATTACTTTTCAAAATATTTATTTTTCTTATACGCGAAGCGAGTGCTTTTGCTAGTATAGACTATTAGGGGTGTTCAAACGGTTTGGTTACCATGGTAACCGTTTTAACCAGTACTATTTGGATAATTTGGATAATTGGTTTGGTTTGGTTTAGGTGGTTTGGTTTGGTTTCAGGCACTCCTAACCTGTCAAACCAAATTAACCAGTTAAGTAATTAGTCATATATCTAACATATATTATATACACATACTTAATACTTTGCATAATCACTCAAGAGTTAACGTTCATCCCTTTTAGACTCATAAAATATAAAGCTCAATATTGCTCATATAGTGTATATTTGTATATGTAAAATGTAGACCACAACATATGGCCGCCTAATTTAGATAAATTTCATACATTATGAGGGATGAAAACTTGAAAGAAAGGTCATTTCCAGCCTATGATAATTGCTAAGAGACTAAGTCAATTTACACAAACACAACAATTCATTAACCCATACCATTGTGATAAATTTTTGTTAGGTGAATACTTCTATACTAATCGTAAAATAATTGTCTTAGTTGCATGTATTTTTGTTAAGAGTCAACTATAACTACGTGTTGATTGTTATGTTTTATTCATTATATAAATTGCGAATTGTTGCATTAACCGGAAAATTTTCATCGTCAATGATAATGTGATTTTATATTGGTTAATCTGGTTAACCAATTAACCAAACTGATTAAACTTTAGTTTGGTTAATTTGGTTGTTGTATTAGTTTGGACGGTTTGATTATGATATTGTATTCCATGGTTAATGGAATTTAGCATTATTTGATTTGGTTATAACCATGGTAACTACTAGATTGTATCCCGGCCCGTTGGCCGGCTGCAATACAATAAAATTTTAATTTTAGTAACTCTCCTCTTCTCTTATATATGTGCCATGATTATATGCTGATATAATGAGAATTAGGAAAATGGTATCAATTTAGCAAGACAGTTTCTTAGTTTTTACCATCAAGAAAGTCTAATTATTATTCAATTTCTTGAAAAATAGAAGATTAGCATCCATCATAAGAATTACTAACATTGTAATAAGTGTCTTGTATGCAGATATTACTCGTGGTCGGAAGAGTATACCAACTCATAACAAATAGATAATAATTGCTCATTGAAATGAGTCTAATAAATAGATTAATTGTCAATTTAGTTATTATTTATTTGCTTTATATTTTATTCAATTCCTCAAGTAATTGATTTAAGAAATTAAACTGATAATTATTAATTTTGTATTTATTACCAAATTTTAAATTTCTAAAATTTTATTATTGATACCAAACTGTTAGACATTAAACTATATGGGTCATGGGTGTCGTAGCCAATGAGGGATTATGGGGAATTGTTTTTTTTTTTTTTATAGAAGGGGATTATTAAATTGAGTAAATGTAAATGTGTGGACCGCCAAAAGTTAACTCTCACAAGTTGGGCTGCTGAAAAAGAAAACAAACAGTGCTAGTGATATGTTTACATGCCACAGTAGCAATAAACCGAGAGTTTAAATGTAAAAAGACCGGTAAGCCCTTCCTTGCTTTGCGGGGAGGACAGCAAATATTGAATTGGTTAGCTGTTGAGCGAGAATATGTTTATATGTATGTAAGGAGGATTTGAACACCTCTATAGACATAAAAGGGAATTAAGCCATGTATATAGATTTAATAAGGGTAAATTGCAAGGTCTGTTCCTGATGTAACAGAATTAATTAATTAATGATTGCATCGAGTGATCGGACACTTGGTATATAAAAGTATTTGCTGCAACCATTTTTCTTCGAAGTGAAGAAGACTCACGACACAGCAGCAACACCACCGCCACCACCACAACGCCCAATCTTTCTCCATCAAAACCACCTATCTATCTTATACATAGGAGGCGGCGAACGAACGGGGATTGATTGAGAACTCCGATCCGGCGGCCGGTTTCTGTTGTTGTGTGGGGTCTGACTGTTAATTATATTAATTAGAGTACCATTTTGTAAATATGCACAGCTGCATATCTCGGCTAGGGTTGAGATCAACAACCTATATATGCTCGTGTAAATATGTAAAAGAGTATCAAGTAATAAGAAGCCAAAAACCTATGAGAGAGATCCTCATTGTGGACTAGTATCACATGGACGATACCACGTTAAAAAATTTGGTGTTCGTTACTTTCTTGCGTATTTTGACATAGTATCAGAGCTTACGATCTGAGATCTCTGACGTATTCATTTTCTTGTTTGGTGCTCTGTCGGATTTTTCTTGGCAGCTTGGTTTTGCTAGGTAGCTGTGTCTGATCATTCTTCGGCATTCTTGCTTTGTTGGTTATTGCGTGCACTTTTGGTCTTTTGCGCCTGTTGGGTTCCCTTTTTGCAGCTGTTCTAGTATTCTCTCTTCGGGATTTCGGCGGCTGGTTCGGGTATTTTTAGTGCCTTAGTTTGTTGGGTTGCTTTGTTGTGAATGGTTGTGCGATTTTCTTCGCCAGATGGATTCAGGCAAGCCCGAGGCGGTGACCACCAAGCTTGACGGGAAGAACTTCCCCTTCTGGGAGTTCCAGTTTAGCTGTTTTCAGCGGTGGATCCAGAATACAGAAGAGCACTGGGCCGCATTTCAATCAAAAACTAGAACCGTTAAAATACATTATAGTTTTTTTTACAATATAAATTGTATACGACGGTATTTTAATTTAGCGAATGCATTAATAATGGAGTCCACATCCATACCAATAGTATATATTGTTTTAAATAAAATACTTTACCAATCGGCTAGAAATTCATCGTTCATTTTGTTGCGAAATCATTCTTCATATGTTTCATTGTTGAAAATGTTCTCCTTGTAATAGTTGTTGACTTGTTGATACGAGCAGCGTCAACACTAGACAAATCAATCGTGCATTGTGTGTCCATACCTATATCCACTAACTACTTTGGTAAATTTTCAAGGGAATAAACCTCATATTTCTTATAGTCTTTTACGTTTTAGACTTTTAGAATTTTAGATATCATTGTTTTTTTAGAAAAATAGTCTTTGGAGCTAGAATTTCTAGACTAAATTTATAGTAGTGATTTGAATATGTTAATCTGAATAATTTTTCTAATTACACCCAATCTTATTATAAAATAACACTAGGCCGAATAACTAAAATCGAAAAATTCATAAACACTATACTAACTCCGAATCCAGGGGAGGGCTGGGCCGGGGCCCGGGGTGGCCACCCCTGGATCCGCCACTGGCAGTTTTGTTGCTGGGAAGCGCTTGCTTCCGATGTTGACAGGGAAGGTGCCTTCGCCTGCCGATACTGCGCCGGCCAAGGACAAAGAAGAATGAGCATCTAGCAAGGCTCAGTTAGTTTACTGGATTTTGGGGGTGGTTGATATGAGTAACGGTCTCAGTCTTAGTCGCTTTGATACTGCTAGTGAGTAGGGATGGCAAAAATATTCGTAACCGTGGATATCCACCCGAATCCGACCTAATCGGGTAGGGTAAAACCCGAACCCGGAGAACTTTTAGTGGGTACAGGTAAAACCCGAACCCGAATATTGCGGGTAATTGGTGTGCATCGTTTTCTTACTATCCTGAACCCGCCTGATTATACATATGCTTATGTATTTTGTCTAGAAATAATTATTATTTTTCTCTAACATATTTTCAGGAAATTGTGTTATTTAGTTAACTCTCTTCATTTTAGTGATTTATTGTCGTATGTTTCCTCTTACGTAATGTGGATATATGTTTGAATGTTAACTTATTAGTTGGAGTTATAAAGAGAAATTATACCCATGGATAACCGTGGATATCCGAAACCCGAACAGGTATGGGCATGGTTTTAATTTTATACCCGTTTCTTATGTGGGTATGGATATGGGTGAAACCCGAACTACTTTAGGTAGGGTAACGGATATACACTATCCGCCCCCGACCCATTGCCATCCCTACTAATGAGATGTCTCTCATATATGTACTATTCATTCCCAGAATAATCCGTCTCGTCAGTTTGAACTTGAGAGTGAGATTGCTTTGTTCACTCAAAGGGATCGTGATCACCACCATGATCACCTTCTCATGTGTGTTATTTCTCGTCGTCATCGTCATGATCTGCCTGCAGGCTGGCCCTAGCCACGCCGTCCGACCGGCCTTGGCTAACGACCCAACACACTACAATAAGAAAAAAAAAAGAACTTATGGCAAGGGTTGTAGAACCCTTGCTAATTTTTCCGAAATATTTTGTGGCAACGCTCTTTGCAAGGGTTTTATAACCGAGATTTTTCCAGAAATAGCACTGTTTAAAAAAAAAATTTCAAAAATAGCACCTAACTCCGAAAAATTCCAAAAATAGCACCATTTTTGTAAAACCGCCACCCGGAGGTGCGTTTTTCGATAAAAATCGCACCTCCGGGTGGCGGTTTTACAAAAATGGTGCTATTTTTGGAATTTTTCGGAGTTGGATGCTATTTTTGAAAAAAAAAAATTAAACAGTGCTATTTCTGGAAAAATCTCTCTATAACCCTTGCTAATTTTTAAACAAAATTTCAGCCCGTACGACAAACCCCCTATTTCCCCATTTACATTTTTCAGTAACGACGCTTCTTTCCAAGGGTTCCAGAACCCTTGCTAAGACTTAAATCAAATTCCATCCCCTGTTCCATTTCTCGATACAAGGAAACCCTTGTTCCATTTGTCGATTTTTTTTTTTTTTTTTTGCACTTGTTTGATCGCTGATTTCACCGGTGTTTTGGTGATTCCACAGGAGCTCGAGAGAGAGGTTGAAAGAGAGCATCCCACTACCGTCGCCCATCAGCCCCTCCGCAGTCGCTATCGCTCCAGCTAAAATTTGATCCCGGTCTCCCTCCTCGCTCGCTTTGTCTGAAAGTCGATTCGGTCTCCCTCCGCTCTCGCTCCGATTGAGAGGTGATTCTCTCTCTCTCTCTCTCTCTCTCTCTCAAACTCTGTTAGGTTAGAGATTCGACTTTCTCTGATAGGTAATAGTTTCGACTTTCTTAGGGATTGTAGTCCCAGTGGATGCATGCAGTATACAATCTTCGGGATTGTAGTACTGGACTTTGATATAGATTTTGAATTTGTAATAGATTCGAGATCCTTATGTTTTTGAATCTGTCTCTTGTCTAAATGATTCTAAACGATTCAGCTGATTTGATCGAATAGTTGTAGTACTGGACTTTAGTAGAGATTTTGACTCTTATAGTGTGATTTAGTTCATCATTAATAGGTATATAAACTGAATAACCATGATAAACAATGGACAACCTAGCCGCTGAATCTGCGCTGTAAAATGGAATCATAGGTTAGTTCCTTGTCTCTCTGTGATTAAGTGAATGTATATATATGTTTATAGGGTATCGTTTGATTGAAGACTATAGTTTCCACTGAGTAGAACATCTATGCTCAGCCATTGTTTATTCCTGTAGATCTATAAGCTAACTAATACCAATGATCATATTCTTGCTAGCCGGTAATACTATATCAATGCCCTCTCTTTTTGTTTAGATATGCCAGATGGCTTTAAAGCTGAAGTGTAAATGGTAGTCCAAAGTGAATTTCTTATATGAAGGATTTTGGATCATATCATCTATTCATGTAGCTTTGAACAAGTTCTTTTGAGTACTTGGAATATCACGAATGCGCTATTATTATTTCATGTAGCTTTGAACAAGTTCTTTTGAGTACTTGGAATATCACGAATGCGCTATTATTACTTCGGTTATGTTTGAATGTTTATGGTGATAAGTATTTAGCCATGTAAACATCATTTTGGGTGATGATTCCTATCATGTTATGATTCCAGATATGAAAGGTATACGTTATGTTAAGAATTTTATTAACAACTTGTATTTGTATATAGGGACTAGGCTATTGGCCAAGGCATGGCACTATTTTGTGTAGAAACCCAAACAATAGCTAAATTTTTTTGTTACAAAAAAGGACCTATGGCTAGAGTTATATGTAGCAAGGGGGGGCTTTGCCAATGGTCCATCCAAGGGTTGCTTAAACCCTTCTTACTTCCTGTACCAAGGGTTAAAACCTTTTCTAGAGATGAAAATAACTCTAGCCATAGGTCCTTTTTTGTAGTGGGGTCGTTCTTATCAACAAGTATTGTCAGATAGCTGCATGGACTACTTCACCGACAATCTCATAAACCAGTTAGTAGGGGTGGCTATACGGTCCGGTCCGGTTAAATTGGCCCAAATTGATCCGGTCCAGTCCGGTTTTTTTGAAAATATAAGGACCAAAGATTGGATTGGATACAGTCCGGTCTTGATCCGGTCCGGTCTTAACCCGGTCCGGTCCCAATTCGGTCTTGATTTTATATTGAGATTGTGGGAATTTGAGTGGCCTAAGGCCTAAAAGGGTGAGGAGTTGGTTAAGTTTTGTACTAAGTGCAAAGGTTTGTGACCGTTTATGCAAATTACCCTTAAGTTTTGGGTGTTAAGCTCTCTTATCCGGTCTTTATCCGGTTTTTTACCTCAAATCTAAACCCAAAGATTGGATTGGATTGTTTACTATCCGGTCCCGGTCCGGTCTCGGTCCGGGTTATACGGTCCGGTTTCCGGTTTTTTATCCGGTCCCGGTCCAAATGGCCAGCCCTACCAGTTAGTCCCAATAATTCGAGTTGTTGGGAGAATGTTATGTTGGATCTTATACACTATACAGAACCATGTATGGTACTTAACTACTTCATTAAACACCCCCTCAAACGAAAGCCGACTCATGGGCTTGAAGTTTGTACAGGCCCGCCATACCATGTGCTTGAAAGACAACGGTTAATATTGGAGGCCGTGAGGACTTGAACACGTGACCTCACAAACAAACCAACTCCGATACCATGTCATAAACTAGTTAGTCCCAATAACTCTAGTTGTTGAGAGAAAATTATATTCGATCTTATACAGACCATATATGGTACTTAACCACTTTCTTACGAGCAAAACCGACGGCGACGATGTGCCCGCTAATTCTAAGTGCTGCCAAGTCCTCACAGCGTATCTGTCCAAGTTGGGAACCAAAGGGGAAAAGCAACAACCTGCAAATGCTCCCACGACTTGCTCACTGCCTCTGGGGTGAAGCAAGACCGCCTCTAGCAGACTGCAGAATACCAATACAAGCCGACTGCAGCAAGTAATTATTAAGTCCTCCATTTTTCGATTCAGCTTGATTCGATCCCATTATTAGTTCTTTATATCGCCATCGCTAACATCGTCGATCATACTAGCTAGTGCTCCTTATATAATTGTATCAAAATTATTATTTGCCCCTGCAAGATTAATTAAGTGGATGATCCTTGCTTAACATGATTCTTCACCGATCAGCCGCGCGCACATGCAAGGAGTTCACTTTCCAGGAAGAAGAAAAATTACATGAAACAAGTCAAAGAACATATCTATAGTATTACTAGCACTGGGTCTGCCTGTTGGCCGGGGAGTTTCAATGGAAAATATATAATTGATACAATAGATGCTCAATAATGTATATAACTTGTCCTTGTATCATAGCTATGGCAGTGGTTCAATTATGCATAAAGTGCATACAATAAAATAAAAAGAGAAAATTATGATATAAGAAATAAATATAATTATTCGATGAAAAAAATAAGTAATTGTATTTCACTTCTTAAGTAGGCCATATACTTTAATATTGGTATTGCTTCCCATAATACAAACATAATTAATCGTAATGACGAAAGAAAATTATTGGTCTCTAATAGAGTTAAATATATCTCAATAGTGTTTATCCCAATAGACATCATCCTTATTGATCACAGATCAGGCAAGATATGAAGTTGATCGTTGGAGGATTTTAAATATATCAGGCATGAACCAAAGTTGTAACCAATTGTTAGTAGAGTAATATATTGTGAACGGTTAAATTCCCAAATTACTCTCATACGGTAGATATCATCAACAACATTGTAGTAATTTCCCTACAAACAATATTTATATTTTTAATTACATGAAATCAAAGAAAGATATCTATGAACATAAGATTACATTGAAGATATGTCGATACAAAAAATATAAAATTGCAAATCCCTCACAGTGGGCTGAAGAAGATAATCGAAGTGAAATTAGATCTACAATTGAACAAATTTGTGCACGTTGTTTGGCAACTTCATAGGAGTCTTGTTTAATGATTTTTTTTTTTTTTGTTTCATTAGTTTACCATAAATGATGATATATAGATAAGTTAGTTATATATTTACTTTGCATAATAACATATACTCAAGATCAGATAACAATGACCAATTCTGCTCCCACAGTTTGCCAATTTCTGAAACCTGCTGGCAAAGACTGATTATGGTGACAAATAAAGCTCCGAGCTTTTTACTGGACGCCCACACATATGCTTCAACCAAACAGTCATTCCATTCATTATCTTCAGCTAATAACCTATGAGCATAACACGCCTCCTTAAAGGACTTATACAAAACTCCATTCACAATCTTTATCTCCTCAAAACTGGTTGGACCCCGAATAATGTGTAGAAGCATCTGCCAGTAGAACCTGACATTTGTTGGTGAAGGATGATAGTAATATAATCAACCAATACATAATTTGGATTTCCTCTTGTACTACTCCCGCTTTGTTTTGTTCCAAACATAATGTTGAGGAGATTCTATAAAAGTATGCTTCCTGACTTCGGAAGATAACTTATTAACTTTCCTCCATCCCAACAACATAGAGGTCTGAGCACGTTTAGACTGAAGCAATACTTGAGGGTTTGAGTATTGCTTTGAGATAACAACATTCTGGCCAGGAAGATGATAAGACATACACAATACTAATGGGTATTGTGAGTATACATCAAACTTAAATAACATCTAGCACGCTTCACCATATGTTATGTAACGACAATCTAAATATGTTTTTATCTTATCAATATATGGGATAGGATGGAACCGAATGCACTGGATTCAGCCCTTTTAGTGGTTTGGTTGACAACTAATGAAGACTTTGCTCAATCTTGTAATTTATTAGTATACTTTAACAGATATTTGATTGCCCGGAGCATATGAACAACATATAAAATACCAAAAATGAAAAATAGGGGACGTAAATATATTGTATGTTAAACTTTGTGGAAAAATGCTTCTGCCTATTACAAAATGAAAGAAAATGGGGAAAACAAAAATTTTGGTCTCTGAATCACAACGAAAGTTTAAGTTAGACATGGATTAAATATGAAAACTATATGGACATACTTCATGGATGTTATCTTATGTCGTTTGTCAATTCTAAATGCCGGAGCTACAATTAGGTAACAAACAGATCAATTACCGTTTTGGGTGTCAAAAATGTTGCGGGCAAATTACGGAAAAGAGCATATGTTAAGACTTGTACACTTGTGACTTGTCATTGTTAATTACATGAAGTTGTATAAATAGGGAGAAAATCAAAACACCACATGGGTTGCATGTCCCATCCCATTCTTGTATTATAATTAGTTATACATATTACAAAGAAATCAATGGGAAAACGTTCAGTACACACGTCAACCTTCTCTGCAATGAGCATTACGATCCATAACACCACATGGACAATGTAATATAAACGACGTCACAGTTGAGTATTTCCGCAGATATTACAAAATCAATTTCCTTCGCCCCCTTAATTTATATTCTGGAGCTAGGAACACTAAAAAATAGCATGAGGGAGAGTTTGAAACTCAATTGCCATGACATTAAAAAAAAAAGATAATAAGATATATATGCTCCTAGAAAAAAAATTACCCTCCATAATTTCCGAAACAATTCATGTACGATTTCCTATGCATTCATTTGACTCAACTATTGTGTACATTTAGTTAATTTATGAGGCAAAACCAAGGTTACCCAAATAATCCCTACGGTTAATTAGTCTGACTTTTATGTTTACTACACCTTCAATACATATATGTGTAGTTACCTGTCCTTCCCTGCTGCAGATGCATGCGTGTCCAAATGTAGTTTTATTTCCTCAAATGGTGTTTGATATCATGGCTAATATTAAATTATTAACGAATGGAAAAGACTGTGATTTCCAAGTCCGTCCAAATGCATGCATGGAGGATGGACAGGAAATTAGTAAACAATTGAGTCTGAAGGAGTAAAAATGTAATAGAATGGGGAAAAAACCAAAGAAACGTCACAAAAGCAGCTTTCATGCATGGCATCGGCACACATGTAGTCCAATCGTGACATTTAAGTTTCAAGAAAGCAAAGCATGTGACAATAAAAAAAACTCTCACAGGGCCATAATATTGGACGGGCTCTATATCCAGAGGCATGCCGAATCTGGCCGGGCCCATTGTGGCTAGCAGGTACAAAAATATGGGCCTCAAACAATACACAGCGGAACCCAGAAGGATTAGTGGAGAAAAGCTAAACGCACAGCTTCATTAAGTTGCAGGGCAAATTGTCGGAATTACCCTTCCGGAAAAGCCTCTCATGCCAGCAAATTCAAAATGCTGAAAACTCAATCCATGAATCTCCATTATATATCTTGTAGATATGTTAGGAACGGAACAACAACAAGGAACGGGGTTACTGTATTCTATGCTTATTTTATAAATATTTTGTAACATCATAAATTCAATTACTATTAATATATCGTTATAATTTCACAACTATAGCTATTATGCAAATCTTTTCTTAATAGCTTCATTTTAATTTTGAATACTAATGGTAGAAAGTGACAATTTATAGCCTACTTAATGTGAACGGCTATTTGCCGGCAACCAAATTGCTAATTGCCGCCAACTAAAAAAAATTTGAATTCAAAATTTGAATTTTCCCTTCCTTTCATTCTATAAATTCGGATACCATTAACATTTGACTCATTCCAACAAAAACTTCTGTGGACGAGCCTAGTGCCTCCGTCGCCGGCACCGTTCCTCCGTCGCCGGCCAACCTCCCGTCGCCCTCAATCGTCGGAAAACAAGTAAGTTTACTTTTTCCGACAAGTTTTCCAATTTTTCGGCAAGTTTTCCAGTTTTCCGTCGAAAAACACGGCGGGTCAAAAAACAATTACAGCCGGTGCGTCGCCTGGCCGAAAAAAACAGATTAGTGAGCACATTATTAGAGTCCTTTTGCAAACAGATATGGTACCCACGCTGTTCAGCTCCGTGAAGCGCAAACTATATCGCACCCATTTCACCCATTCCATCCAATCTTGTCTTGTAATTTCTGTTGTATATCTGTTTGATATCATGATGCACACCCCTTCAGTATTGGGTGTCGTCTTCTGCTGATTTGGTCTCATCCCCCCCTTCCTTATTAATCTTAACCTCTCTTTTTTAGCCTCACTAAACTGTTTGTTGTGTCGGTGATGTTCTGGATACAACACCTTTTCATGGTTCTGAAACCCTCTATTAACTCCGGTTACACGACTTGTCACTCCCACTATGACCCATGTGTTTGGACCATTCTTTTGCCATAGTTCCTTAATACATATCTGAAACTGGCAACCAGTACCCTTCGAACTAATATTCTCACGCGTCTCCTTCGTAGGGTCTGGTTTATAAGACTTAACGATCCTACTGCTTCTGTCGCAATACATACAGACGGCAGTAACAGGATGTAGTCCAGCAGTATTCGGTTTCCATGCTCCTCTAACAATAAAGAACCCACACTCCTGAGCGATTGCTTTTGCAGCTAACTTCACACTTGCATAATGGATCCCATTCTCAAATTCCTATGTGTAATCATGATCGGCCGGTAACCACTCTGACATTTTTCCTACAATTACAATATAACACATCAATTTTCCTATGAACCTAAACGCTAATTTCAAATCTTAACCCCTAAATTCAACTCCTAAACTCTAAATTCAACTCCTAAACTCTAAATTCAATTCTTACACGCTAAATTCAACTCTTAAACGCTAAATTCAACTTCTAAACTCTAAATTCAACTCCTAAAATCAAATTTTTCCGACGAATTGCAACGAACAGACGGTGGGTAGAAAAATTCCGGCGGCCGGAACCTGGCCGGCCCGAAAATTTCCGGCAGCTGGAACCAGGCAGGGCCGACGGAAATCTGTGGCCGGAGCCAGGCTGAGCCA